CAGACGTGTGCTCTTCCGATCTCCCCAAAACCCCAAAACCCCAAAACCCCGTGAATTAAATTTACTTTTAAAAAGGAAAATCATAAATAAAAATTATTATTTCTATTAAATACATACATTGAAGGGAAATTGAAACAGGAACTAATGATCTCTGATTAATTCAAATATAATTAATTTCTTATTTTTAAATATATATATGAAGAAAATATCAAGTGCGTATTGGATAACACTTACTTTAATCGGATTTTTTATACAACCTTCACTTCAGGACTGCGTTGGGGGAGCTAAAAATGCACAGGTAGAAAGTGGAGAATAATGTGATACTACTGATCCGGGGTAATAATAAAATGATAACATTTTTAATTAGATGCTCATAAACTTGTTAAATTGAATCAGGTTATCTATGCACAGTTGTAGGAGATAATTAGGATTGCTCTTAAAGTTGCTTTGATAAAATTAGTTATAATCGCAATGAACCATAAGTAGGAGACAATTGCTTAGATGGAGAAGTATATTAAGTTTCCGGTTCATAAACTGCAGATGGGTAAGCTTTAAAATTCGGATAATGATGATTATATTCTTTTACCAAACATAATTACAAAATAAAATTAATGCTTAATTTAGGTGTGACTTACAATGTATTGTAAATGCAGGATGGGCATGCCTTAGAACTCAATCAGGTGCTGGTTAAGGAAATCTTGATTTCTCATGTAGTAGTAACCTTCAAACATAAGCTAGTACTACATAGACTTAAACTGATACAACTATGACTTAAACTGATACAACTAATTCTTAAACTACAGATCCAGCAACAACCTAAATAACAACAGCCAGCCCTACTGATACTGATACAACAGCGACTTAAACAACTATATATTCGACGACAGAATCTCCAACTACTTAAGAAACTACTTAAGTAACTACAGCTCCAGATTCAACATAGGCCCCAACAGATTCAACAACTATTTAAGACACGACAACATAAATCACTGCTACATAGGCCCCAACAGACACAGCTACTTATTAAACTACTGCTGAATCAACAACTTAAGAAACGTTTACAGATACCACTTCAACCCTAGTCCCAACAGACACAACTACTTATTAAACTACTATAGAATCAACAACTTAAGAAACTTAGACTGATACAACTGCTCCAACAGATACAACTACTTATTAAACTACTGCTGAATCAACAACTTTAGAAACGTTTACAGATACCACTGCAACCCAAGCCCCAACAGATACTACAACTAGTTAAACAACTGTAGAATCAACAACTTAAGAAACTGCGACTGATACTACAGCAACCCAAGCCCCAACAGATACTACAACTAGTTAAACAACTGTAGAATCAACAACTTAAGAAACTGCGACTGATACTACTGCAACTCAGGCTCCAACACATACAACAGATATTTAAACTACTGCAGAATCAACAACTTAAGAAACTGCGACTTATACAACTGCAACTCAGGCTCCAACAGATACAACAGATAGTTAAACAACTGTAGACACTACCACTCAATAAACTACAGTAGCATATACTCAAGGAACTACTTTAGCACCCACAGATACAAATACAGATGTTAGTACTACTGAGTTCATAACTTAATAAACTACAATTGAAACTACTTTTACATAAGCACCCTCTGATACTACCACTGATTAAACAACTACTGTTACTACAGTCTAAACATTAACTGAGACCACAGTCACTACCGCTACAATAGCACCCACAGATACTACAACTGAATAAACAACTACTGTTACTACAGTCTAAACATTAACTGAGACCACAATCACTACTGCTACAATAGCACCCACAGATACTACAACTGAATAAACAACAACTGCTACTACGATCTAAACAACATCAGACACAACTATTATAACTGTTACATCAGCACCCACAGATACTACAACTTAATAAGTCTCAACTGACACTACATTATAAACAATAACAGGTATTACTACTACAATAGTTCCAACAGATTCTACAACTATTATTAGTTCAACCGATTCAACAACCACTGTTTCTACAACTCAAACTACTGCTACGACTTCTCCAACAGAAACTACAATCTCTTAAGCAACAACTGATACAACAGTCTAGACTTCAACAACTATTGCTCCTTAATCAACCACTGAATCAACAACTACCTATGTAATAACAACTATCTAAACTTTAGCTAGTACCACTTTATCTGATGTAACAAGCATGCCGACAGATTAATCTTCTACTACTGAATAATCAACTACAGTTAGTCCAACGACTTAAACAACTACAATAAGCCCACCATCAACTACAGATGCTTAGACAACCACAGAAACTACAGCTGTGACACTATAGAGCTCAACTACTACAAGCAGTCCTTCGACAACAGATACTACTACTGCTGCTCCTTCAACTACTATTGTAATAACATAAGACAGTAGTACTCAGGCTACATCAGCAGACTCTACTACTGTACCTCCTACAACCCTTGCATAAACATCTTCACCAACTACATCTGGATTGACATTAATAGATTCCTCAACATAAACAACTGTAGCTCCAACAACCATAGTGGAAACATCAGTCACTACAATCTCAATCACCTCTGATTCAACAACCTAAACCTAAACATAAACTACAACTTCATCACCATCCACTACTGAATCTAGCACTTCTCCAACCTCAGTTGCTGGCACTACTATACCTACAACTACAGCTCCTTAAACAACAACTGAAACAATAACAGCGACTTAAACAACAACTGGAACATTAACATCAACTTAAGCAACAACTGAGACAACTACAGCTCCTTAAACAACAACTGGAGCAATAACATCAACTTAAACATCAACAATAGTAACAACTCAAACAACGCAAGCGACAACAGTTGTAACAACCAGTGCCCCTACATCTAGTCCAACTACTACTGCAGTAACAACCGTTACTACTGTCACTTTTATCACTACAGCTGAGCCAACTACCACTGTGACCACAACTACTACTCAGCCACCTTAATTGACTAATTGTTACTAAGTAGCAGCTTTATTCGATAGTACTGATGCTTTGAGATCTGGTTTCTCATAAATTACCTCATAGTAAATGTAATGCTCTTAGATGAGTACCTGTTAAAATGGTAGACCAGGCACTTGCAAGTGGTATAGAAAACTTGCTGTTGGTTGTTTTGTTGACAACACCTAAGTAATGATTAGAATCTAGACAAATTCTCTACCAAACCATTGCTTCTAGACAAAGACAATATTCCCCTCTGAAAATTTGATCGATTTTTAAGTAGCATTCAATATATCTGCTCCAAACTTAGACGTTCTAAAATTTGACAGTCAATACACAACAGATGAGGTCCTATGTACCGGATTTTGGAATAAAGAAGGTCAAATTTCATCATTCTATAAATTCAGAAAATACTCTGGCGATATAGATGGAATCATTGGAATTTCCATTAATGGTATCCCTATATACTTTGGAACTTCAGAATTCAGAACAGATGCATTCTTCCCTAATGCATATCAAAGATTGACAGTACCAAGCCCAATTGAATTTGATGCATGCCTTGGTGATTCAGACTATCTCAACTATTATCATTACTACTCATTCTCACCATGTATCCTTCCATCTGGCCAGGCAAAGATCAAAACTGCATAACTTTGTGCTGATAGAATGGACTGTGTTAAGGATATACTTGGCTATTCAGTTTCCTTTATACCTGAGAAAACGGTTTTCCCAATCGGTGTGGCTCTAGATGGTCATCTCATAATAGGTCCTTATAAGCATGATGGAAAACTTTGGCAACCTTGTGACTTAGATGGTTGCAATGGAGTATTGATAAACGAGAACTACTTCTATGTCTCTTCGCTATTCCATCCTTACACTGTAGGCTGTTGGGGACCAGCTTCTGAGAGATAATACAGATAATCCTGCACAACAAATGCTAGAATCTGTATAGGTGCATCTGATGCCTAGATAATTTCTCATACCTTAGTAAATTACTTGATGGTAATATCAGGTTTGATAATGTTAGCAATCAACTATTGATGAATTGAGCATATAAATTTGTTGATATATACAATTTACTCATAAATATAATCATTGATAGAAGGATATACTTAAATAGATCCATAATTATATATATTACACTTTAAAT